TTTTGGGGGAGTTTCGGTATAATAGATGTCAATCACAAATTACCAGTATAATCCTGCGTTATAGCTTTTTGTACACCCTACATCATCTTCTACTTTTTAGAAATATGGCACCAGTTAGAAACCGAACAACTCGCGACTCGTGCTAAAAGTTTTTCCTCTGATTGACATATTGATTTCCGGTGCATGACACCACAACGAGGCTATTAACCATAACCACACACAAGATTCCTTTTGTTTACAGTCCTGAGCGACAATGGCTTGTTTCCTCTCAAAAAATTAGGTGACAAGATATTTGGACATATAAAACTGTTTAAAATGTTCACAGACCTTTTAAAATAATAATAATTGAGATCTTCTTTCGTGTTTCCTGATGACTGCAAATGATTACGCGGCATTCTAATACTGACACACAGATCCGACCTTGGCTAACTTTTTATGTACACTGTTGATAAGGATGATGGATGCAGTCAGGAGTGCATTGACCAAGTATAGCGCAGCCATGGTTAAAAACGCTGGCTTGTATGATCCACTAATATCATAAATAACACCTGAAAAGAAAAATAAAACCTTAGTCGTCGCCAGACTAATTATTTTACATTAGAAAAATCACTTTAACGCCAGTTTGGAATAATACGGCATTTCAGAAATACGTTGTCCTAAACCCTTAATTCGTCTTTGTTTTATTATATTTACTTTTCCATTTATTTTTGAGTTTTTTATTGTTAACGGAAACAACACGAGAAGGCTTTTTTTTAGCAATTTATTATTCTGACAATCTATTTAAACAAATTTATGACATTTTCTTTAGCCTCTTCTTGCCTTCGTAGTACTTTTTTCCATTCTTTTTCAAGACACTCAAGTTGTCGTATGCACTATGTTAAGATAACATTCTGGATGCATACCCGATAGAAAGGGGCCAATAGCCGCTCCCAGTCCCATGCCAGACCGCAATATAACAAACAGAGTCTGTACATCCTGTCCACTGAGTGCTTCACCACAGGAAGCATACCAAGCTGCTATGATGGGCCCTTGACCAAGCCCTAAGACTGAAATATATAAAAATATGAATGTCATGAAGCACAGTGGTCGTTTTTTACTGTCAAAATAAACTGATTTGTGTGATACATAATCAGGCTATGTTTGAAGGATTATCTTTTTGTAGATGTTTGAGATATGAAATATAAAAATGTAACGGAAAAGATATTTTTGTCTAAAAAGTGCAATATTGACTCATGAATGCATATTAAGATATTTGTGAGTCAAATACTGGACAAATGTAAAAGGTACCTAAAGGTAGATCAAAATTAGATTCCCTGTATAGTATTTTGAAACAACAGTATATCGTGTTACTGAATTCAAGTTATGCAAAGCACAATTCAAGGAGAAAGGGTTTACAGTTTTGCTGTTAAATTACCATCTGTTTTTTATTTAATTCTATTTCAGTCTAATTCTACTTATTTATGTATTAAATATTTTGTTACTAACTGTTTTCCCATTCCCAGTCAGTGTACAGGTAGCCAGTATGGCAACAAAGGAATGAACTCTTACCAGTACTGAATATAAACATCCCCGTCAATGTTGTAAAATATGGAACTAGTATGTTATTAATCATGAGTAAACCAGCGCAAATTACGTAGATGTAGAGAATATTTCCTTTCACACGGTCTCCCAGTGCAGACACGAGCAGACGACTCAAAAATCCCGCCACGCCGTCCGCAGTCAAACAGTGAGCGCCATCTGCTGACGTGTATCCTAAATCCTCCACTTGCCTTACCTGGATTAATAAGTGGCATTGTTACAATATTAGTAGTTTGACATATGGATTAAGGATGGCTTTCTGGATGAGCATATCGAAATATGAAATATGAAAAATAAGAGTTAAATACGACATGGGTGGCTAAACTATTGCGAGAACACGCGCATCGCGAGAGAGAGTGAAGCAGTTTTGACAAAATTCATTATAAATACCCCCACTGGCCAACTATCTTGTCTCTATTTTAATTTTTCAATGTTAATAAGGTAAAATTCGTATTCCACGTCCAGTTAAAACTGCTTGGATCGAAACGCATTGTTATAACTTGTTATAACTATACTTGGCACTAAAAAAATCCTTGCAGAAGTTCGAACGCGATTATTATTGAGTACTAACCTCTTACGAGAAACAAGTTGGCAAATTCGAAATTTCGTGCTATGTAAATTATAAAATGGCTTTTATCTGACTTCAAACTCGTCAATACTTTGCATCTTACCAAAATTGCATAGGAAATTGTTTGGCATATACCCTTGCTCAGGTAGATGACAAACCACATCACCATGACAACAACGCGAATCTGCTTACTCCATTTTATCTCAACAGAGGGCGAGACTTCCTGCTTTGGACAAATGAGATACTCTGGCTGTATCGCTTCTTGTAACACCTCTTTAGTTGGCTTATATAACGTGTGGATTGATACGGTGGCCCACAGCGCGTAAAAGGTCGCTAGAACCAGATACCCGTATCTCCATCCTATAGATTGGTGTAACCATTGTATTAAGTTTCCGAAGACGACGGTGCCTGAAACAAAAGCATAATGTTTATTCTGCTGTATAGATCCGATAAAAAACTTCTGAATTCTGTCAAAATGGAAATTTTCTGCCTGTCTTTTTTGTTTATCCCCACTTAAGTTTCTATCATACAGTTATGATTTTGGTAGGAAATAAAATCCGTTTTTCTCTGAACGCACAGAATGACCTTGATATAATGTATCTCCTTTGATGTCCATGCTCAAAACTTCGCATTAAAAGTGCGCACATGAAATATCATGCAGACATGCAGAGAGAGTAGCATAATTAGTATAAACGACAAAATCTTATTTGATAATGCCCATAGGACACACAAAAGCCAAATCAGTGAGGACGTTGAGGGTACCCAAGACCACTGTAAAAATATGGCTTATCTTGACGCTCTACATAGCTGTTTCAATGTTGTACAGACATTCTCTCTGCAAATCTGTGGTAAAACGTAAGACATAACTAAACCCAAACATCCGAGTTATCCCAATACCTCGTAAACTGGCGTCAAGTCAAGCGAGATTTCAAGGAATTTAGAGGAAACTGGGATCAAAAATAATGACAGACTATAAACTAAGGTGCAGCAACAATGAATTAAAAAAAAAAAAAACTAACAAGATTTATCCACGGATACTTTTCTGGTTGTTTTAAGTCAAGTTCACATATATATCTGGGAATACTTACTGAACGGATCCGAGTTTCTCTGTGAACCTTGTAGAGGGTGGTTATATTACCCATTTAGTATTATATCTGCTAACTTTCATGGGTCAATTAGCCTGAATGTACATGTATTGACAACAGACAGCTGAAGCGAAATAACTTACCTAGGGGCATGGTAACCATGGCCCAGCTAGTGCACATCACGTGGTATCTATGTTCCCATGGAAACCAGTCGGCTACGATAAAGAATAATGGCGATACAAGGATGTTCATCCCGAGGCCGTATAGAACGCCATTGGAGAATATAAGGTATGTAGCACTGGGGGCAATTGCAGATAGGCTTAATCCTAATACGACCAACAACGTCCCCACAAGCGCTGAAATCTTGTAGCCGCTGTGATTTGATGTGATCTTTCCTATAAAGCTTGTGGCGCTGCAGCATAGGAAAAAGACTGATTGGATAACACCTGGGAGACAATAAACAGTTAATTAGTGTAGGCAATTCTATAAAAGAGGAGAGAAATAATCTACCGAGAAATCATAAAATCGCAAAAAATGATATAATCACAAAAACATGCTGTTGGACTGAGAAAGGAAACCCTTGTTCTTTACAATATAATTTTCTCTATGTTAAGTAAAACTTTGAAGATTTAATGTAAAAGTGTGGCGTGTTATGTTCAAACTTATCAAATATCTTATTCAACAATTGCAGCAATTCACAAATGGCGGTTTACTTTTTTCTCAAAGAGATTAAAAATGATAAGGCAAACTGCACTCTGTTTTGGGGTACCAGAATACATTTACTACATGTAGTTACAAGTAAATTAAAGAGAGGTCGACAATCGTTTCTTAGCATCGTTAAAGGTTTTCCGTCAGACCGTCAGAATGGCCTGAACGGAGCATATTCTTCAGAAAACATGCCCAACTAACGATATCTTTAACCAAATACACAAATTAAAAGCTCATTTTGTAAATTTTTGACTTAAAAAAAAACGTCCTTTTTGCTTAGCCTGCGAGTTAATGAGCTACGTGGTCACGTGGCCCGATGACGACAATCGTGCCACGGGAGGAGAGAGAGAGACAAGCAGCGTGTTTAGCTGTCAAACTGAGCTGCATTGTCTACCTGTAAGATGACTTTTCTGGCTCCTGATAATAGTTCATACTCATTCAGATCTCTTACCCCAGGGCTCTAAATCCTCGTGAAGCTGTGTAAAGCCATTTTCCGTCTATTCAATATATTCTTTAACTAGCATTTAATTATGGTTATCCCAAGTTGTATAAGACAGTGCATTCGAATGACTTGAGAGTACTGTTGATCATTTCATTTGAGGTCCATGTTATTTGTGAAATTCAGTTCATTTTGTTAAACCGTTGCGCCCTATGGCTCATCAGAATGAAATGCAATAAAAATATAATGTCATGAAAACAACAACAATACAACTACTAGTAGTAGTAGTGATAAAAACTCCTCAGGCTGACGTTAATCTTAGCTCCGATGCACATATTAAGTACTTTTATAAGTTTTTTAATTGTGAAACATAGTTAATGGATAACAATTTAATTAGCTTGAAACCACTGTGCTTTGTTTAATAAATTTTTTATGTATGTCTGCCCAATCGTTCTATAGAAAAAACATTTTTAAATTCTTACAGGAATAAAAAGTAATTCATCCTTAATGCCATCTAAACTACATAGTTTACAGGCCCTTAATTTTTATTTGTTTGTTTACCTTCCAGTTTCTATAGCTAGATTATACGCACGGGTGCTTTGGGCGCACAGTTTTTTTTTAGCCAACCATGATATCATTTTATATAAATTTAGTGTATTTTTCACGGAATATAATCGAAAATCCTCCGCGAGTTAAAGTCCCCTGTATGTACAAACCTTCTGTATCAATTGTAAACGCACCATTGTTCTGACACCCTGTCTTGCATATTTTTATTCAACCGAGGTAAACAATGCGTGTTACCTTTACAAGTCCTATCTTAATAGTCCATATAACTGGAAGTTCCTTTACCTCCTAATTGGAGGGTTAAGTGGTCTTCAACTCTCCTGTAGCCTTTGTCTTGAGAGTATCGAACGCACTCTCGCTGGCGATATTTATCTCAGAAAAAAACTCTACCTGTGCGTTATTTTCAAAGAGCAGCTCCCGCAGATCTGGGGGCACTAGATAAAATCTGGACACCAGGTTTATAAAAGAGCTAGAGAAACAAAGAAAGAATTTTTCCTGCAAAGCTTCATAGAAATTTTAACGCGGACTTGATAAAGCTTAGACCTCCAAACTAACAAGTTGTCAGAGACCCCTCAATGTCTTAATGTAGTTTTAGAACTTCCGTAAGAGTGTAGGCAGAATCTTGTTCATGAAGTTTATTGTCATTGTTTAATCGAAGCCAGTTTGATCAGTCACTGTCTAGAAGGATGTGGAGGTGGCCAAGTGACCTCTAATTTAATTAAGTTTTGTTCAGACGGTCGCGGAGCGACCGGTAATTTGATTTAATCATATTACTTGTAAACCTGCATATAAGCTAGGTGGGTAACGTTATTCGAGAGAACTGATGTGAGACCTCAATGAGACACGACGATTGGAATACTTGTTATACATCAGAATTAAATATTGTTGATAGTTAGAAACTTTGCACGGGACTTGAGTTCGTTCTCTCACGCGTTTATTTGCGTATATTCAAACCTCGAACTTGGGACGAATTGAACTGCGACCGTAATCGATCGGCGGCGGCTAATATTGCGTTAAGATAACATCGGATCGGGCCGATACCCGACAAGGGTGACATGGGCAGTTTTCACAAGCAAATAATAAAACTTAAGTTTATGTTTCAGTTAGCCTCCTTTTAAATAAATATACCGTTCAGGGTAAATAAGAATATTCAAACTTTATTAAATCGCGAGCATATTTTTCACTTAAATGATGATTTTATTATTAATGGAAATTAAGCTACTGTGTGGTACATTTGCTGTGATAACGCTGTTGCGTTATTCTACATGCTGCTCTTCTTTACACCCAACATTTAAAAAAAAAATTGTATGTGCCTTTCTTATACCCCTTACCAGATTAAATCTCCATGCATAATTTAAAATATACTAACGTATGTATCAAAACTGCACATTTAGTGAAAGTAATCATTTTTTAACATGCTACTAATAGCAAAAAATGCTTTTTTACCTTGATCTGCTACATGTTTTGGGGTTTGACAAAACTTACAAATTTGCAAAAAGTTTTGCGTACAGACGCAGAACTTGCGTTTCAAGTTATAAAATGATAAATCTTTTAAATTATTTAATATTTCAGTTGAAATAACCTTCAGAAACAAATCTTCAAAGCATAAACGAATTAGGATTACGAACCATTTTATTACAGCAGTTCCCTTTTTTTCTTTAATATCACCGCTCTCCTTCCAGTTATTCCTCAACCACGTTTTCTTCCACGGAAGTAATACCTGGGCATATGCATGCTTCAAGATACCCTGAGAGCAATCACTTTTATTAATGTTCGCGACCGTGTTTGAACTCAATTGTTAAATATCGATATTTAACGTCATTTAAAAATACCAATAAAACAGGCCTACCCAACTACCAGACTCGGCACCTAAGGATCCTGAATTAACCCGTATATCGGACCACACTACCCGTTTTCAAGGTGTGTGTCAGATCGCATTTCGGAGTATCATACCCCAGAGCAAATTTTGTAGCACGACTGCGGGCTCATCCACGCTCGGCTGAACAACCTTAAACTGTACTCATACTTTAGAGTACTCTATTTTATTGTCTCTATGGGGATATATGGGGACTTAACGACATTCGGTTTGAATGTTTTAACCACTTTTGATAGAGCTTTTTTTGCATTGTATTAGATTAATGTGGCAGTCTAAGGTTCATCTAGGTGGCTTTCAAATTTATGCACCCGGTTTTAAAATCATATAGCGATTTTACGACAATCGTTTACTATCCAATCAAGGTGACAGCCGAGCATGCTGATACTGCGAAATGCGATTTGACACACACCTTGAAAACGGGTAGTGTGGTCCGATAAACCGGTTAATTCAGGATCCTTAGGTGCCGAGTCTAGTAGTTGGGTAGGCCTGAATAAAATTACCCCATGAAATAAAAGAGATATATTGAAAAATATTAAAGCCCACTAAGAATCTGACGAGTTGGATACCTGTTATCACCTGGCTTGGGAAGTGCAGCGGTGCATAATTAACATGTTTTATTGTTAACGAGCTCTTGATCAACTACAGTGCATTAAGAATGCATCAGCAATTAGTAAGCTTGTCAACTGATGACAGTTAATTTGAAAGACTATCAGCTTTTGATATGATCTAAACAACTTGAGGGGACCATGATCTCGAGCATCACATCTATTATCACGGAAGTTAGTAAATAAGTCACGGAAGACCGTCACAGACAAAGAAAGAATTTTGTCAACGAGTGCTGCAATTTTGGTGAATCCTACGGCAATACACTGAGGCATAACGAAAATTGCTCAAGTCCGTTCCACACAACTTTCATAAACTCCTCTGTCTGTATGCACCATGCAGCTCAGTTGAGTCTCAAAGACCTTTATCCTCATTGTCGTCACAGTACCACATGACCCAGATCTGTTGCTTCATTTATGCATATTGAGGTGAGGTTTACTAAAACGCTTTTTTTCTACTATTAGATTTTTTTATACTTTTTAAATGGCGGGGATCGATTAAAACATATCTATAGTGTATAGATTGAGTGCTGAATCTTCAAAATTCGAGAAATGGATTTTTATGTGTCTAATATCCTTAAGCATATCTTGTTACGACATGACCTACTAGTTTGGGTCCTGTTACATTGTCATCAATTGTCATCTATCTAGTATTAACTATTTAAAATACCGGTATGACCGCCCTTTCACATAATTTTCTTTGTCATCTGCCTGGCTCGTTGTTCGGTCAGCGATAAGGGGGTGTGGGTAGGCCATTTAAGCACCACCCCATATTATGTCCACGCTGTCACATCTAGTGGTGGTCAGAAAAAGGCAGTAGGCAGGTGTCCACAGTTTCCAGTAGAGGAGGTAGCACAGTGACGCAAAATGTTTATTGCAGCAGCGATTTTATCATTTATAACTTAGTATTTTGTTTAGATCACAATCATGATAACAAAATGACACAAAGTTCAGTAAGCAGTATTTTTCATACTTGCGCAACAGGGATTCTTCACATTGTCAAGCTACATGAGTATGTGTCTTTATAATCGCCGGACTTTGTTGTATGTCCTAAATTACGGACAAAAACATTTGCCCTTAATTACTAGCTGAAAACCAACTTGAGAACTGTACCTTACTGCTTCGCTTTAGCTTAATAATATGTGGTGGATTAGACTTTATCATTATTTAACCGATTATTACCCGGTCTTATCTTGCAAGATTTTCAGAGGGAGGATCGAACAAAGGTCTTAAAAATTAATACAATTAGCAAATTGACCCTGTAGGAAAAAGGTCTATATGTGCCTTTTAATCAATACTGCTTATCTTTTGAGCAAAGCAAATGGACTTTACTTTCTTTTGTGCGTTTTTCTGCAATGTATGTCTCTTTTTTAATGCCATTTTTACTAAAGGCTGTGCATAATAATATATAAGGATATGTGTAAATTTAACCTTTAGTTTCGATACCCTATACAGAGTAACATAAATTATAAAAATAATAATAGCTGGTCTAAATCTTGGTCATATATTTGAAACGTTTTATTTTTGTTGTTTAAAAAGGAAGTGTAAAGTTTAATTATTAAATATGAAGAAATTACAGCGGCGTGGTATTATTTGAATTTTCTAGTAATAAGAGCTTTTTCTCTCAGGGAAACCGATTTTTACGCAGTATCATCAATCGTTACTTATTTTTTTTAAAAATACGCATTTTTAAGACATATTTTAGAAAACCTCTGGATTTTGTATACTTTGGCTAGAAAGTCTTTCTACATATATACTAAAAAAGACTTACCTAGGGTTGCTTGAGACGAGGATCCCAACACAGTATCTTTACTAAAAGTGGTCACAAAAACGCCCCAACTCATCTTGATGCCATTAAAGGCAAGAAATAGTAGAGATGTTAGCAGCACAACCAACCATCCGTGGTACATTTTAAACAAGTGTATAGTTACAAAGAACAAGGCGCTGTTACTTTGCAATTTGGTCGAACATGGAATCACGAGGAGTGCCTTGCCGGTGTCATGTAGGAGAGAGTCCCTTCCTGTATTTGACCCAGTTCACTATGATTTGAACAGGGAATTATAACGGATATAATTCCATGATTTGAACAGGTTAGTGACCTTTTATTCGTTTAGGTCCAATTACGCAACGCTAACTGTACCCTGTATTTAAACTTGTGTAAGACAGGCTCAGATACCCTCACGCTCGGCTGTCACCTTGATTGGATAGTAAACGGTTGTCGTAAAATCGCTAAATGATATTAAAACCCGGTGCATAAACTTGAAAACCACCTAGGACTACCTTAGACTGCCACATTAATCCAATACAATGCAAAAATAAACTATAACAAGTGGTTAAAGCCTTCAAACCGAATGTCGTAAAGTCCCCATATACCTCCATAGAGACAATAAAATGGAGTAAGCTTGTGAAACAAGAATCCACCAACTTAAACATAATAATCGAAATAAAATACTGCCGGGCATCGGAGCAAATACTGCAGGCTACATCATCCCGTCGCTAGTTTGTAAATTCCGTGCATGGCATACGCACAATCAAACCGTAAATCATTGCACCTCTGATGTTTATTTCGGCCTCTCCACAATCCAATTCAGGAAATGACGTAACCGCAGAGATCGTATTGTCCAATGGCATGGCTTCTATTTCTTAATTGGAGGTTAGAGTGGACCGAAATAAACATCAGCTGGCGATATTTATCTCAGGTAAAACTCTACCTGTGGGTTATTTTCAAAAATCAGTTCCAGCAGACCAGGGAGCACTAGATAAAATCTGGATATCGGGCTTAGTAAGGAGGCAGAGAAACAAAAGAATATTTTTCCTTCAAAGCTTCAAAGAATTTTGACACGGATTTGAACCAGTTTAGCCATCCAAACTAAGAGGATAGCATGGACAATTTTCACAAGCAAATAATTAAAATTAGATACATCAGAATTTTATCCTGTGGTATAATTGGTTGATTTTGGATGATACAATATATAAGTTCAACTTTTAGAAAATTCATCATTAAGCTGACCATGACAGGGGCGGATCCAGGATTATTTGAGAGGGGGGGAGAGGTGCAGATGCGAAGAGTTTCAGGGCCCAAAATTTTTCGTACTTTAGAGGGTGAACTTTGACAGTTGGTACGTTTTGGACGTATGATTCGGCTAGTCAAAATTTTATTTTCAAGAAGGGGCCATTGGTGTGATTTTTTTTCAGAAATCGAAAGGGAGGGTCATTCTCATCTCTTCAGCGGGAGATCAATCGCGCACCGAGGGAATCGAGAAAGCAATTTTCATATTCGCTCAAGGGACTTCGTTCGCGGCATGTCATCAGCCGGAGACCGTTACCGATCCGAACGAGAGACGAGAAGGCAACTTTCATACTCATTAAGGGGAGTTCTTTTGCGAAAGCGCGTCGGCAGGAGATCGTTATCGATTATTTTAACCCCCCCCCCCCCTTGAAATTTATTATTCTTTATTTCTTTTTCATCATTTAATTTCACCCCAGTCCTGGAAAAAGTGTTGGTTCTTGGTGAAATAATATACTGTAACTTAATTATATCGTGGGAATATTTTAACTTTAATTAATGATTTTATTCCTGGTGAAAAATAAGCTATGATATTTGGTACATATAATTTAAACTGTCCTTCATCTGTTGCGTAAGTTTACATTTAGCTGTACCTGGGAATTATGAAAATCTGTGCTTACAATATTAAAATGTCTGGTTACGCCCCTTCAGAGGGAGACAGAAAAGCTTTCAGGTCGGTAGGTGGAGTAGCCCAGCAAGTTTACGGCTTGCCACTGCTGTGCACGGCTGTTAGGGGTCTTATGAAACGATTTACTAGGTACAAACAAGTCTCGTCTTCTTGTATGCTAATGCAATTTTATTAATACAAATTTTGTGTTTTTTAAATATACATGTATCTCAGTTATTGGAAACTGATGACTATTGAATTTCACGTATGACAAAATTAGAAAATCTGTATTTCAAACCAATCATTGAGAGTGCTTAAGGGGGGAAAGGGGGCATTAATAAAAATATTGAAATAATGCATCAGTTCTAGTTCTCTTTTTAAAAGAATTACATTTGCAAATGTTTAACTGAATGTGCAGTTTAAGTGCAGTGCGTGTCCTGCTGGTGACCCTGTATCTTTTATATGTTGCGAAAAGATATCGTTTTCAGGTTGGGGATTCTTGTACTGTGACAGCAATCAAAATGATTTGATAAATACGTAGTGCAATTTGGTCAATCTTGAAAGGTCTGGGAACGACGATAAACGTTGTCAACAATACAATAATAATTCGCTTGACAGTTTAACCTTCTTTTCGGTCCGACGATTTGATGGGTTATTTCTCAGTTTTGGACAAATTGTGGATAGAAGGCACCCTAGACGTGTAACTCAATCCAAGAAAAGGCCATGCGCATGATTAACGGCGACATTAACATTCTTGGTTACAGTATCTAACATATTTTGTAAAAATTGGCGTCTTGGGCTTACTGATACAATATTCTACTAGTATAGATCGTTAACTATCACATTTTATTAATTAAAGCGGGGACATCGTAAGTCAAATGGATGCACACATACATATCAGCATCATGGTCATTTTCTACTACATGTAGCTCCAGCATAACGTCTTTCAAAACACTGTGATACAATGTATGTTCTTACATAAATCGAATATCAGTGGTCGGGGTAGAATGGCGAAGGGGTCGCACGCACCCAGCCCACTTTGGTAACCCTCCCATTCAGATAAAATATTTAGTGAAATTAAAGCAATCTTTCTAGTTACAAAATATTTTGATGATTATACTTCATTGAGTAAAATCACAACCCGAACACTGAAGTTGTACAGAGGGATGACAAAAGTATGGCACCATTTTGCTTGAAGGTGAACAACTGCTGGGTTTTTCAATTTGTATTTTATTGAAAACTGATTGCGTTAAGCTTTGCCCTTGGATAACGCATACTATTGTGTCAGTATTAATGTTTTTTGGGATAACCACGTGATCTCAAAATGGTCCCCGACTCACTATCCTTTTGAACATAGGCTGATAACGGTTCAGTAATCTTCTGGAGGCTACGTTAGTCAAGTCTCTAAAGGCATTTTGGATTTGAGCGTTCCTTGTAAAGGAGCGATCATTTAATTGCCACCTGATTCCACAGGTTTACAATAGGGTATGCTTCTGGGGATTGGGCAAGCCAGACCACCCGTTGAAGCCATGCTAGTTAAGTTACTCTTGTACAGTTTTGGCCCTGTGGGATGCGGCGTTACCATGTTGGACAATGAATTGATGATTCCTGTCCCCAAATATGTTTTCTACCGATGGTAAAAAGTGGTGGTTCAGAATGTTTATGTGTCGCTCGTGGTTCATGTTTCTATGCATCAGCTCCAGTTCACAAATTCCGTAGAAACCAATGCACCCTAGATCATTATTGAAGTGAAGTGAACTGTCTAGTGAATTAATGTACATGTATATTCTCTGGCAGATAACAAGTGGATGATGATCAACGTACTCTCAATTGTCCATCCACTATTTTAATAGTGAATATGGACTCATCTGTAAGTTTTTAATGGTGCCAGTTCTGACCTACAGTCTATGCAATGGTTCTTGCATCCCATGCCACTGTTCTTCGTTTGTATACCAAGGCAATAAGTGGTTTCCTCCTGGCAACCCTGGTGTGAATTTTTGTACCATTGAACTTTATTTGAACAGTTATTTTGCTCACCTCAACCTGCAAATTACGTGACCAATGAAAAGCTAATTAGCTGCTCAGTTCAAATCCCCTTAGCCTTGACAGTATAAAAAGACACCCGTTGTCTCCCCTGCACACGTTTTCTTTGGGTGGACATTCGTGGTAGCTTTTGGGCATCAACAGTATTTTCCAGGCTTCTGCAAACCCTATAAACAATCTTAGCAGACACATCATACCTGTCAGCTACTTGGGGGCGGGGGCGGGGGGGGGGGGGTTAAACCACAATCCTCAGAAAAGCAATTTCTTTTCTTTCTTCATTTGTGAGCTCCCGTACCTCCAACTTGGTAAGAACTTACAGTAACAACTTACAACCAGAAGGGCGTTACTCCTGCAGTGGTACCTTTCATAGAGGCTGTTATACTTTGAATTACACGCGTCGAAGTTGAACTTCTTCCCACACTGAATGAATTGCATGTTTCAATGACATCCCTGATTGGCGACTGTTGCCAAAACATCGCTTTGATAACGTGGCAATTTATAGCTAATACTAATACTAATACCGACACACTGATCCGACCTTGGCTAATTTTTTCTGTATACTGTTGGTAAGGATAATGGATGCGGTCAGGAGGGCATTGGCCAAGTACAAAGCTGCAATGGTTAAAAACGCTGGCTTGTATGATCCACTAATATCATAGATTACACCTGAAAAGAAACAATTAATGACTTTTTAGACTTCTTTGTGATATATATCTATATTTCAGAAATGAGTTTAAACAAGAGAAGGTCGTCCTTGCGTTAGTTTTTTTTTAAATAAATTTTATTAAAATAAATACAGCAACGTGGAATAATGTGTGTAAAAGCATGTCCCTCTTTAATGCGTGTTTTTTAACGTCTCTGTGTCACTATTTTCCTCAACAACATTGGTTTATCAAATCTAATTAAAATGGAAATGTGCTCAGAAATCCTAAACAGATCAAATTCTATTGTAGGCTGACCTGCAACTATTTGTAACGAATAATTACGCTTATGCAGATTACGCTTATGCAGATATTCTAGTAGTAAAAAAGCACTCCAAAGTTAATTTGATACATTTTTGATTATATACCTGACAGAAAAGGACCAACTGCACACCCAATTCCCAGGCCAGACAACAATATAACAAACAGAGTTTGCACATCTTGTCCACTGAGAACTTCACCACAGGAGGCGTACCAAGCTGCTATGATGGGCCCTTGACCAAGTCCCAAAACTAGAAATATATATAAGATAGCAGTATTCCCTGTTATATTTTATTTAAAATGAATAATAACATGCAAAGAACTATCTTTACAAGGAGGCAAACATTATCACTTTTTTACTCATGTTGACTGCATAATTTTTTTTCGATGATTTTTTTTCATTTTTTTCCCACGCGCCAGTGCCAATAACTGTAGCAATTACAAAAGCAAGTATATGTATAAATCGAACCCTTACCAGTACCGTATATGAACATCTCCGTCAATGTCGTAAAAAATGGAGCAAGAACATTGTTAACCATAAGTAA